GAGGCTGAAGCAGCTGTCTATCTTATGGTGGCTGCCTCAGCCTGCACCTGTACCCTTACTTTATCTTTGCACCATCATAAAAAAGAGGGAGCCATTTGTGCTGCAAAACGGCAGTGCAAACATTGTGCATCACTTGCAAATCATTTTGACAGCACAAGGTCCATGTTTCAAGCCTGAAGCAGCCATCAATTTGATAGCAGCTCCTGTCTCCATTTTTTCATCCCTGCATTAGGCATGAGAAGAAACAGTTTGCAATGTGAAATGGCAGCGTGAACAATACACTTTACATGGTCTACATGTTATTTCACCTCTTGCTGCTATTCAAAATCTCAAGAAGTATTATGACCAGAAGCAAACAGAAGCATGTGAGTATGGAAAGAGTGATAAGATGTGGTTAGAAGGCACACATACCTCCACCAACTGACTGATGGAAAAACTTGACAATAAGTGATAGTGATTTGGCCCTTTTACCATCAAAGCAAAAGTCAGGCTATCTGCTTATCTTCTTAATGTCCCTAGGTTATTGTAGGAAACCTATCCCATATTCAACAAAATTCTACTGTCACCATATCACAAGCTGGAATTTTTCAATAAACCTTGTACCTTAACACCTCCTCCAATCCAAGTAGATAGTGCCATCAAATATGAAGCCAAAGAAATCATAGTTTCTCACCATGCAAAGCTCAAAGGTACCAAGGTAGACTATTTCATCCATTGAAAGGGATACCTGAATACAAAAAGGACATGGGAACCTAATCATCATTTGATGAATTCCCCTTCCCTCATTTCCACTTTTCACTGTAAGCATTTTGCAGCCCCACATGTAATCACTGTTGATTGACAATTTTGCCCTTATAGAAAAGGGGGGGGTAATGTAGGGACTGTTTTATTCTCCCACTTCACTCACTATGTCTTGGAAAACACCCATTACACCTTTAGCCTTATGCATAGAGGTCTCACTTGCTTTACTTCTTAAATTTCACTTTTATAGGTTTTCTCAACTATCACTACCATTTTGTATTGCAAGTTAGAGAGTGGACAGGCTTCCCTGCATCCAGCACAGTGGTTAAGGCAGATGGCAGGGCTTTTGCTAACCAATCACAAACCTAATCAGTGCCTGGGTATATTAATTAAGGCCTTAGTCAGAAGTAGTGCCCTATGATGGGGATGCTATTCCTGGGCACGTCCTGACAGAACTATTGATAAACCACACTCTCACAAGCTGATCAATCAGTGACAAAGAGAGAGAGGACTCTGCTCCTATCTTCAGAAAAGAGTGCTTGTTCCTTGATACTTTGGGGATACACTTACGAACATGCACAGAGTGCCCAACGACATAAAAGACCAGCAAAGGAAGAGAGTCCCAACATTGGCAGATTGGCTGTAGGATTGCATAGCCTTTACCCAAATAGATAGTGTACTCTTGGTATACCAGTCATCGTGTAGTGCCCGGACTCCGGTAGACAACTGTATCAAAAAAGTGTAGCTGGTCACATTCATGTCGGATGTTTGGGGTAGCGGTTAAGCCTCCTGATGAGTCCCTTTGCAAGGGCAAAACCACCCCACCACCATCTAGACAGTGTAATTCCCCCTAGTACCAAATATTATCTTGTTGCTTATATCATAGACCTAAATTTTCCCATGCATTTACCAGTAGATGAAGTCCAAGTTTGTGATTAGATAAGACAATCTAATCACAAACTATTTATATACTATTGAATATAACTAAGGTTAGGTTCAGTGCTGTGTGAACTGAGTAAGTGTGTGATAATAAAGAGTGAAGCAATAATATCAATATTGAGACACTCTCAAGCTTTAATAGAAAACTTGCATTTTTTGAATTTTATTGTGTATTCAATAAAATGGCTACTACAAAGTGACAACAGCAGCCTGACAAAAACCAGGCTTCCAAAACTTCATAGTAATCTACTCTCAAAGATAATGAGCCCCAAGAGGAGAAGCCAATAATGATTGGTGCTTGGGCCTGGACAGCACTGATTGAGACAATAGTACCCAACAGATATTACACCATTCCCAGATCAAGACCAGGTCAGGATGGACATCTCGAGAGAAAAATACTGCTCATTAACAGATATACCCAATGAGTATGAGCAGATATGAATTGAACCAGAAGACATCTGGAAAATGGCCTTCTCAATGATATATAGGACATTCATAAGTTATTTAATACAGCAAGGTGACTGCAATACCTCAGCAATATTCCAACACCTGATGAGAGTAATCTTTTGACATGTTCATCTACAGTATCACTGTAGAAGTACATGAGAAGCATCTCAAACTAGTGTTTGACAAGCTGAGGGATACACAGCACACCCCTTTCTAGGAAAGAGAAGTGTAACATATACTCCATAAGCATGGACTGTCTAGGACACATAATAGATAATAAGGGTCTACATGACAGAATGTCTAAGATCAGGGATTTGAGGACAATGCACAATGCACAATATCCAGAAATTCCTGGGCTTGACAGAATATCTGGCACATTTTATGCCTGATGTCTTGGCCTACACAGGCTCCATATCAGTATTAATCATCCATTTCAGTAGAGACTGGTACACCAGCGGTGCTTTAATCAGATTAAGAATATGGCATGTAAATACCCCATCCATAAACTGATCAACATGAGCATGAAAGAACCCATATGGGTTATCTGCAACACCTCCATATTAAGGGTTGGTGCACTATACAGGCAGAGACCTACTTGGTAGACATGCAGGCCATCAGACTTCATGTCTAAAAAGTTATGTGATGCCGAGCACCACTACCATGTGCTCAAGTTGGAGACACTGGCTATACTTGAAGCCCTCCTCAAATGAGAAGAGAAACTATTTGGGTATAAAATAAAGATAGTGGCAGATCACCAGACCTTAGGGTTTTTTGGAAGATGGAGATTCAATGGGGAAAAGAACAGAGTATAAGATTGGGAGTTAGCTTAGCTCATGTGCTAGGCTCTTCTGCGGACCTTGGTGCCTAACTTGATGGAGCGAACAAAGGGAGAGTAGAGGATGAGTGTAGGGTGGAGTAATAGTCCTTCAGAGAAGGACCAGAAAACATAGAAAGGGACTTGGGTAAAAAGGTGGAGGAACTTAGTGATATTCAAACTCCAGGGAACAGAGTACAAGAGCTTATATACTAATTGGAGGGCACTTTCAATATCCACCTCATCTCAATCCTCATATATATACCCTGTACTTATAGTAAAGTGACAGAAAATAACAACTTTTGAATATCTGGATTTATGAGGGCATTACATAAGGTTTCAAGGATATTTGTTGATAATATTTCATGTATCATACTTGCCAATGATAAAGTTTTGGAGAAATTTGCACTTCAGTAGTACTATACCTATACCTGGTAAACAGTAAAATAATATGTTTGCAGATACTAAAGAACTGTGTGAAATAAGTATATCAATATATTTGTCTTGCAAAAATACTAATAATTTAACATATTTATTAAGAGCTAGCTTACGTATCAGTGTCCTAAATCATCACAAATATCAGGTATAACTTGTAGATACTCAAATTAGCCATATGAAAGTGTAGCCACCAATTTTTTGTTTTTGTTTTATAACATAGCACAGTAGGCTGAGAGCAAATAGCATCATTGACATTCTCATCTGCTATTAAATACATCAGCTTATATCAGATATTAATAATCTCATTATTAAAGACCCCTGCCACCCTATTACACATAATAGGAATATGGATTGTCCCATAAAAAAATATGGGAAAATTCCATATGTCAAGTAAAAGCAACAAGTTTATCTGTAGGTCTAATCCCTAGTATACAGTGATATACCTTCAACAGTGTAACTTGGTCTTTATCAGTCCAAAACCTCATCATCAGAATATGTCTCAAACCCATTCACAAATGGGCTTATCAGAAACCACTTATACATCTAGAACCTCCGTGTTACCAGGCTTGCACATTCCAAGTGTAACATAGGGTGGCTATAGTAGGAGAAGTAGTGTGACTACCACAAAATCAAATTGCACAACATCTTGGAGTGTCAAACATCTCAGTCAGCTGGTCAAAATCAAAAGAAGAAGGGAAAAGAGAAACGCAAGGATCAAAAAAAGAGAAGGAAAAGGCAAATATGGTGGAGTAATCAGAATCTGACCCCAAGGAGGAATAGAAAACACAATAAGACCAAAACAACAATCATCATTACCTCTGGAGAAATGTCTCACATAGTCCCTCACCACTCCTGGTTTGTGACAATACCCAAAGTGGTTTCAAGAAGGATAGATGATGATAAAAATGGAGTTGGTAGACTCAAGAGTAAGAGTGAGTTTTGTGATGGTATTCAATGGGAGGACTTGGTACCATTGTCTGATGGGGCACCTGGAAAATGGTCCCGGGTATCATCCCCCCAGCAACTTATCACCCTCCCACATGTTGTCCTCTGCTAGACTATGGTAGCTTTGACTTGAACAAGCGCCACACAAGCCTCTGTTTAATCATAAGTTTTGTCCTGCTTTGTCCTGAGTTATACACAAATACTAACCATATAGTGCATATGTAGCTTTTTAATACTTTGACACTGTTGGATTTCCGCTGCTTTCTGTTTCTGTTGGCAGCGAGGAGTGATTTTGCAGGTTTGGCATACCCTGTGCAAGAGAAGCCAGACCAGAGAATGCCCAGCGCATAGCCACTTTTATCACACTAATGAACCTTGCATTGTCCTCTGGGATTGATCCTCCCAGCCTGGGAGACAACAAAGGCCTCAGGTTAATATTGAGCTCTGAAATATCTTGTGGCTGTTTTGTTGTGAGTAATGTACATATGATATCTATCTTTGATCACCAGTTCATGTGCTAGTATTTTAGAGGCAGTATGCATATAATGACTGCATTATTGTCGGCAGAATTGACGTGAATATTGTTGACGTAGTTTGAGGTATTTATTTGGTCGTGACCAACCATGTTGAAAGTGTCAACCGAGACCGTGCCATTATGTTGAGTAAAATTGGCTGGCTATGCTGCTGAAATTAATCCATTCTGTGAGCAAATGTATTGAATTTATTAGTAAACTCACTCTCTCACAAACCTAACACGTACAAAATGATGAGAAATCTTACTGTGTGTAAGCCTGCGGGTACGCCTGGTACGGTGGACATAGGTATGGTATCCACCAATTTCAAGCCAGCCCATACTTGAGTCCACAGCCGAGGGAGCAAGAGTTGACCCGTCTTCTTCAAGTATATCATCATCTGAATTGTTGTTAACTTGCACTTGGGTCTGTAGCAGAAGTCCAGGGGATGGGCCGCAATAAGGGGGCATTTCCTGTACTGAAATCAGGAAAGTCAGGATTTTTGTGCCGCAATCTCCTGAGGGCATCAACAAGGTACTAATTAGCTTGTTCTTCATTAATGTGGTTGAAGATGCTGACAAGGTCATCTGAACGTACTGACAGCAAAGCTTCTCTTATAATTGTATAATTTGAACATTCATTTTCCCGGATACAATACCAGTCTAGACCATGGAGGGGTACATTGACAGCAGCACGGCCAGTTGTACTAGTATGGCTAGCAGACACTGCATTATTCTGTGCCGTGATCTCTTGGTTGCTCATAACAATTCCTTGAACATTGCCTTAATTGGTGTGGGGGGTATTGTCAATGTCAATGTTGCTTCTCATCAATCCCAGTATGTCAACTTTGGTTTCTTCTGAGTGTGGTGTGTCACCAAAGGTAGGATTGTGCTTGAGGGTACCATAGTCCAAGGGTTCAATACTAAAGGGAAGGTTCTCATCTTTGTTGGCATCCAAGCAAAGGGGGACATCAGCAAAGGGAAGGGGGATGTCAGCAAAGGTATACTCTGCACTCTCATCTAAGGGAGGTGGTAGGTTATAGAAAGGAGACAAGAATCCTAATGTGGTTTGCTCAAGCTGAAGGCCTGCCACATTACAAAAAAATGCTGATAGGAACACCGCATCAAAACTGTCTTCCAGCATGTAAGGATCCATTGCAGGTGCACCAGGCTCCGGAGAATTAGAGCTAGAATAAGAAGCAGGGTGTTGAGAATTTGAAGATGAAGCATGTAGAAGTAATATTATGTAAGCAAACTTTGGAGCTTCGCCCAAAGATTTACTCTGTGATTATAACCGGCCTTTTGTGGCCACCATTGTTTTTTCACATGATATTTACATATATTTGTTAAATAAGGAGCCTTGTATTTACACTGTTACGGCATTCATTTGCCAAAGGAATCCTTCTCCTGCACCTGATGTTGCGCCCTGAGGGACCAAATATCCAACAAAGCATGTAAAGTTGATGTACATAGGCAGAACAATATGTGTCAGATGACTGTGTATATGATGTAGCTGCTTATGCTGCAGAGCGGGTGATGGAAAGTAAGATGTGGATTGGTGGTGATTGAGAGGATGAGCATGCAACAGTGGAAAATTTAAGAATGATCCTTGCGTATTGGAGGTGAAATTAGTGGCAGACCAACATCAATGTAGAATAATCTAGAGCTGCATTAACTTACTTGTTGAGCAGAGTCTTGGCTGGTGATACCTGCATCAGCCCCCCATAGCATATTCTCAATCTGTATGAACACATGCATATCCTCCAGGGATATACTTCAACCAATGCTTTGTGCAACATTGTCATCAAAGGGATCTATGTGGCAAGAATAACTAGCACCCTGCTGGGTCCTATCATCACCAGGGTTGTGACTGTGAGGGCACATAGCAATAAAAGAATAGTATTTCCAGAGAGTACACAAGACATAGGGAACAAGAGAGTAAACTGGGGAGCAAGGATAGTTCTGTGGCCTATATATCTGGTGGACAAATGCAACATGGTGTGCTCAGATTATGAAGGCCTAGTGACCACAAAATCCTTCGGACTAGGCAAAGTAAAACCTATGTAGCACCAAAATGAGTCATCATGTAATTATGGTACCAACTGAGTGATCGGCTAGAGGAAAGCCAGCAGTTTGCAATGCACAAGGGTACATACTTGCAACTACATACATAATTTCAGGGTGGCCCCTAAGAGATCTGAATTTAGCCGGACTGGGAAACCTGCATTCAAGGAGTGCTCTCTTCAGAAACTACTTGATAGTTGCCGCATTGCAGGACCACAAAGAATAAAAAAAGAACCTAAGGTGTCACAAGATTGTGAAAAGGAAGAGATACTCGTTCACAATGGCAAACTGAAAAGATGCAATACATGCTGCTCCCTTAGATGAGGCTATGAATGCTTCAAAATGTAAGCCACCCTTACCTGTAATTGCATAGACTAACGGGAAATAAATGTGGTAATTTGTGAGGCAATGTACATATAATATATTGACCAGTTTGGCGGTATACATCAAATAACTAGGTGAGAGCTGTAATATCATCATGACTGATAGCAGAAATCTAGAACATACCATAAACAATAGGGAAATCAGATCTCACAAATAAATACATAGAAAAGCTCCAGTAGAGCATACAGCCAGATCCCTGGATAAGGGTTCTTACACACTATGACAGGTATATTCTGTTTATACTCCAAGTTGATAGACAGAATTTGAAGCACATACCTGCACAAACCCCTTTATGTGAAACTATGTGCAACACATGTTGATAATTTGCCATATTGTGGGGACTAAAGAGAAATTTTGAGACATTGCATGCACAGTGATTCCGGGAGGGGAAGAACCAGGAATATATAACAGTAAATAATGGAAGTGCCTGGAGGCAGAAAAGAGGGGCTTACATGTGACAAGAATGAGATGGCCAGTGCAATGTTGTTGTAAATATTCATTCCTGTGAATTACATACATGCACATAGTTGACCACAGCCTAGGGCTAATATGCATTTATTAGCATATAGTTTTCCTGTTTCTGGAAATGCTGGGTGAAAACCATCTGGTTCTCAGCCACAAGACAGGTGGTATAATTTACACATACTCATTGTGTATGTATGCATGTGTGCTAAATTACTGATTGAGAGCTAACTCTTGTTGAGACGTTTCTCAGTCTCTCGTGCATTGCCGGCTATGAGAATAATGTTAGCAGTTATCCACTCAACCTATACATGCAGCCTTTCTTGGAGATTGAATTTACAGCAAAATAAAAGCTTTAAATACTGGCAGGATCCGAAGGTAGGGAATGGCACCAATAAGCACCAATAAGGCTGGACAATCACTGGCAGGCATATCAGTTTTGATCTGGAGACTGTGATAATATTGACGAACTAACCTGGGAACTATTTAGACCATCTGCATGCAAGGATCTTGACCATTTAAGCCAGAACATAGAAAAAGGACGTGAAACCGGAAAGAAAACTGTTGATCATGGATTATTGATTACCTTTGGATGGTGTTGAGTGTAGCTAGCAATATTCTCAGTGGATTACATAACAGCCTCTTTTGCACCCACTACACTAGCTATGCCCGGATATTTTTCATGTCAACAATAAACCCACATATACTCTGAGTTACTATTTCCCTCTCTACCTCGTACCATGTTGCCCTCTAGCATCTGTAGGTCCTGTATTTGTCAAGCTGCTATGCTCAGAACGGTGGGAGAATGGAGCACTTGTCTTCATGAAAAAGAGTTGTCTCCCTTCACCTTGCAACCACAATGTCCTTCACCGTTACAGACTTTCCCTCGCTCCCTTGGTCTATCTTCACTCAATCATGATCAGAATTCCATGCATACCATTCACGTGATAGCCTCTAATTTGCTTTCATTTCTGCAAAACAGAAGCATGGAGAACACCTCGCTAGGGCTCAATGTTATTGGAGATACTTGTCATTGGCTCAACAGGGGTTGAAAAAAGTCTGTATAGATATATATTTTTTTTTTCTCAGTCTATGTGAGATGATTTGTTGGGCCTGTGTTATGGATGATGACAGCTTCATCTTACCATGTCATAACTACAACCTTTCGGATACATCATCATTAGTCATATAGTTGTGATAAACAGGATGCCCCTTTCTGTGCAGTGAGTCACACATATTTAAAGTGGATAGCAGGATCTGATGAAATCAGAAACTATGATTTGTTTTTTTTTCGACTATTGTACTACTGAGATGTTGTATGCATATATTGCAGCATTGAAAATGATATGTACATGTGGAACTATGAATAAATCATACCATTCCAACTTATGCTTGGCACTTCCATGTTTTGTTTTCCGTTTATCAGACAGATATAGTACACTGTGGAATCATTAATAAGATATAATGGAAATTACTCTATGGAATATTACTCACAGTTCAACTGCTTGCATAAAGTTGAGGCAGTTGAAATATGTTCCAATGTTTCTATCTGAGGTGGCTGCATAGCTTAGTAATTGAGAAAATCTATGTACAGGTTGTATCCTCTTATACTCCTCTTCAAACCTAGTATAGACAGATCATATCAGTAAACCTTTCAATCTTAACACGAGGGAGTGTTTTTGTGAATATATCTGCCACCATGTCATTTGTGGGACAGAACAACAGGGATACCTGTTTATTCTTTACAGCTTCTCAGATAAAGTGGTACCAAATATCAATATGTTTCATCCTTGGATGAAACTTGTTGTTCTTTGTTAGCGTTATTGCTCCTTGGTTGTCATAGAACATGATTGTGGGATCACTTATTTTGTGTCTGAGTTAAACAACAAGTTGTCGCACCCATAGGATATTCTTGAGAGCATGATTTGTGGCTATATATTCAGATTCGGTACTTGATAGAGCGGAAAAGCAAATATGATCTGATAGTGAGTGTCTATGAGGCTGAGAGGCATGATCAGTGTCTGTGTAGGAATAAATGGATTTTTCAGCATTATGGGATGTGAGGCATAGTTTATGGGTTCCTTTAAGATATTGTGTCACCCGCTTTACTGCTTCCCAGTGAGATTTCCCACGATTTTTACTAAACTGCGCTAGCAGTGATGTAGTGTATAATATGTCAAATTCGTTAAGACTCGGGGAGATCCATCGGGAAATCAACCAATATGTCCTGCCAGGGACCAGTTGGTATCAGGTTTAGCATAAGTTTACTGGCTGGCGGTGTCATACACCAAAGTTGATTGGTAGCATGGACAGGTGTCAATAAGGAAGCGAATATTCAAAAAGACTCGCCTTTGCGCCACACAGGCACAGTGCCACGTGAAATAGCAATCCAGTCACGCTCACCTTTGCTTTTCCATTCAGTACTTTCCGTGTTTCGGCATTTTAGCAAATTTTTGCATCGCCACTGGCTATACATTGCATTGCGCCCTTGTTTTTGTTGTTTCCTTCACTTCCCTTCCTTTGCCTAGCCCTCTCCTTTTTATTCTCACCTGACAGTTGTT